ACAGAAATCGGAATTATCAATTTTCATCATCCAAAGAATCGAAAATTAGAGAAAACTATTGATATCCACATTGAATAACTTTTACTGAGTTATAGAACAGACAAAAATCTTTAATTAGGTTGCTTTTTTGTGTGCTTTAAGTCATTAATTAATGAAATATTTTAATTCTTTGAAAAATTTCCTTGTGTCATCGAGTTATAAGAAAGCTTTTTTTTGTCTAAATCCGTGAAAAAATACAAAATTTTCAAACATATTTTTTCAATTTTTCACTTAATTTGGGTGAGTTGTAACATTTCAATAGATCAATTGTAAAGAATTAATTATGATTTATGATCTACGAAAGTTTTGGCTTATTATTCCTTCACAGTTGTATGAAATTAAAGAAAACATTTTATTGACACAAAACTCATTGACATTGGATTATGAAAGCTCATTTTTTTCAAATTCCACTCATCCAAAGAATTGCCCATATGATAATTTAAATCTTTTAGTCAAGGCAAAAAATCCAAAAAACAAATCAAACAAAAAGTTTCACTTTTTTATATTTTTCAAAAAAATTTTCATAACTTTGCACAATGATTCAGATTTGAAAAAAAATATTGAAATAACCCTTGTGCATAATATTTTTCAGACACATTGAAGTAATGAAATTTTTTTGTTAATATTCTCTAGTTTAGGACTTTTAATGCCTTTAATCTTACTTGATTATTGATTCCTCAAAATATTAAGTCATAAAATTGAGGATAAATAAGTATTTTTTACAAATTTTACAAATGTTTATCAAAAAATTTGGCGCACGATAGTAATTTGTCTGAAAAATTAACTGATTTTCAATCGCAAATATCTCGCTTCGGGCACATTTGGGCATGAACACATTAAAATGGAAGGTTTATTAGACCTAATTCTTTGGATTTTAATAGGTTTGGTAGAAGCCGAGACACGCGAATTTAACTTATGAGTGTTTAAAGTCTTGGTAAATTTCAAAAAAATTAATCATGATTATTCGCCCAATTAATAGGTTTTCCTATGATTTCTTCACACAAACACAAAGTACTAAGCTTAATTAAGCTAGTTATCAGCATTAAAACAAGAAATTAGAAGGAGAAAAGAGAAAAAAATTAAGAAAAATATTTGTTGTCATTTTGTAAACAAATTGATTGTCATCTTAGAATCGAATTTTTGGAAGTTAGACAACATATTAGAATGAGATATTTTTACAGAACATAAAACAAATCATGTTCTTTAATCTAGCATTTAAAACATAAAGTTTAATTAACTTGTTATTTTTGAATTTTTGAACATTTTTTTCAAATCTGAATCATTGGGCTTTGTGAAAACTCTTTTAGAAAATACAAATTATATACCAAATTGTTTGTTTTTCAATTCTTTATAATAATAAACTTTTAAATTAACACAAATCCTGCTTAAATTAGTCAAATTAAGTATTTTTTCTGAGAATCATTTTTCATGTTACATAATTTCCAAAAAAATCAAAAATTGAGTTAAGCCGAAAAAAAATCGGCTTCGATTTCTGATAATTACAAAGATTTGAAGATGAAAAATCAGGAACATCATGCAAAAAAATTGATTGTATGCATTACAATAAAAAGATAAAAGTATAAATTTCAAAAATCCGTTGAAATTGAATGGAACATATTTTTCGACCGAGCCCTCTTTGAATAAATGTTTGAAAAAAAAATCTCTTGCTTACCAAGCTTTTTACATCAATACTTGACAAATCGTCTTCAAAGAGCTGATAACTCGATGACATAATAAGTTTTTGACGATTGGTTGTAATGACAGATGGATTAAGAATGCTATTTATTACAATGATTTTTTTATCATTTGTAACGTCATAATCGATATCATTAATATTTTTGTTACATTTTTGATCAATTAGACTGGTATTATTATCATATTTATGTGAAGTTTCAACTGATGCTGATGTTGGTTTTTTTGATGGATTTGATACGATCGACATCGTTTGAATAGATGTAGAAGTATTCTGATTAGCCAACAAGGACAAACGATTAAATAAATTTATGACGTTTAGCTTAACATGCATTAAGCAACGCAAAATAAAAAGATGAAATGTCGTCAGGGTGTAAATGCACCACCACACAATCAATAAGATGCAAGAATAAAAACAAAAATGGTTAAATAATAAAATCGTAATTCACAATAGGTAGTTAGCTTCAGCGTGGAACACCTTAGGTCTTTTTTATATTTTACCACGTTATTCTCAACTTGGCCTCTTGTCTGTTTGTTTGTTTGAAAAAATTTTAGATCTTGGGATCGATATTTTAACAACTTCTACTGTTCCAATCGAGCTGGAATTTTTTTATGCACTTGTATTTCCGATCACAATACAATGTTCAAGCATCTTTAATGACACTGGACATGAATTTATGTTGCTGAATGTATCATTAAATACTGAAAACATTCATTAATTTTTATTTCTTTTGTACATTCTGGAAAATGGGCAATTCCACAGATGAGTTTTTTCGCACGTAACATGCGCATGTTTTTCTGAGAAAAAAAAATTAATTTCTAATTTTTAATGATTTCGTTTCAATATGTCTTGATTATTTAGACACTTTTGATCGATTTGATCACTAGAGTGGTTCTGATACGGGAACCTGTCGTTTAAGGTAGTTTAAAAGCGAATTTCAACATTTTTATCATCTTTTTTATGAAATTTTTGATAAATATGATAAAAGGATAAAAAGCATGTATGCGAACGCTAAAATTTATACAAAAAACAAAAATATCTTCACAGTTTGATTTTAAATATTGTTTGTCATTGAAATATACCAAAAAAACTTATCTGTAGTTAATTATTTTTAATTTTTATAAAACATTTTTTTATTATTACATTTCTGGAAACTACAAGTCAGGGGTAAGGTCATTTTCTAATATACGGGTATCAAAAGTTAAATCCTAGTTTATTAACTTGCGAAGCACAGCTAATCGATGGAGATTTTCTTTGGCTTAATTCTAGTTTACAAAGTTATACTCTGCGAAAGCATAGCTGATCGATTGCGACTTTCTATGGTTTGATTCTTGTTTACAAACTTATACGGCCTGTTTCACTAAGGTGGATTATCCACTTTTTCAATCCGAGGTTAATCCATAAATCTTTTTTTACTACGTTAAACTGAACAATGAAAATGTTAATTCTCAAACTGGTCTGATTATTATTAACCAATTAATTCTACATCAGAAAAATACTGTTTGGATTTTCAGCGCATCGAAGAAAAAGATAATCCTGAAATGAGGATTATCCACCTTAGTGAAACAAGCCGATAGTTAATTCAAAAAACTGATGAAAAGTATCTAAAACTAGTGTATCGGGTATAAATCCATTGCGGATATATTCACACTGTAGCATCGAAAGTCTTGTGCAAAAACCACGCTTTGCTCTACATTAGTTTGGAGGTTAATTGAGCTCAGCATGTGTTTGAAGATTAATTTAAGATTTAAATCTAAAGGGATGTGCCGAACATTCTTTAAAAAATTTCTTTCGAAGTTTGATTTAATAAAAATCTTATTAACTTTTGTTTTAAAAAATTCGTAAGAAAGGAAGGTTTTTATGCTTTTTCTGAAGCAACGGCTGCTACTCCCTTGCCCAAAAACAGTACTGCTCTTCTATAAAACAGCGCGCATCGAATAGAAAAAACTAGAAGTCTTGAAATTTTTTTTTGCAGAAAATGTAAATTTCCAGGCACAAACTTTTCATTTCTGGTCAATTTCAGCTATATTGCTTCATTTCCTCACAAAATCCGAAAAACTATATTTTTAATCTGAACACGGAGTTTTTAAAACTAAAAAAGCAGAAAATAAATACTTCATAAAAAACTTCAGCGCATTTTTGTGTTAACGATCAGTATTTGATTATCTATTTATTTTGCGTTCATTTACAGATCATTAGAAGATTAGAAGATCATTAATTTTAGTGCAATTAGCAAATAATTACAATGAATGCTTATATAGAAAGGCTTTATTATTTAACGGTCAAAAAATAATTTGAAATTTTGTCGCTAAAAGTTGCACTATGAAAAAATTAATTATAGTATAATTAAATAATTTGTTCCAGTGTTGCAAATGTAGATGTCTACACTAGATGAAGAATGTAGATTCTTCAATAGTTTTTGTCTAGCTAAGAAACTTTCTTCATAAAGAACGATTCTTCATAAAGATAGAAAATCTAATCTACACAAAGATTATTTCTCCATAAAGATTCTGTCTACATAAAGATTCGATGTAGATGTCTACAATTCTACATTTTTTCCAGCTCTACATCAGAGAAGAATGTAGAATTGTAGACATCTACATCGAATCTTTATGTAGACAGAATCTTTATGTAGAAATAATCTTTGTGTAGATTAGATTTTCTATCTTCATATAGAATCGATCTTTATGAAGAAATTTCTGTCTCAGAATTTATCTGATCTAGACAAATCGCCAGGATACAACACTGATTTGTTCCAATAAATTTCCATACAGAAAACTTTTATCATTTAACGGTTTTTTGAAATTCAAATTTTACAACGGCTAGAAAAAATTTGAAATTATAGAGGTAATGTTGAATTTTTTAAACGTACTCATCACGTGGTTTTGTTTATGAAATAAAAAAAATTTTAATATAGTATAAATACACTGTTTCAAGACTTTTAACTGTTCGATCGGACAATAAACAATAGTAAAGGAGCTAATAAAACAAACCTGAGCTCTCTACAATGTCTGGTTATAAAGGTTATAATGGTTCTTCAGACGAACGAACGAACAAAGTGCATTATTAAGCTCCCTTTTTGTATACAAGTATACAAAAATGCGCTAAAAACCACGTTTTCCCGTGGACTAAAAAGTAGATAATAACTAATTATTGTTAGGTTAAAAAAATTCACATTGATTTTATTAATAATAAATAATAATTGGATCTTAATGACTTTTAGTATAATTGGGTATTAATAACAGTGTTCAATATTTTTTCAACTTACCACTGAAATATTTTCTTTCTCTGAATCAGATTTCTTCTTTTTTGTTTTTTTCTTGATACTCTTTCTTTTTTCGATATCATTGGTATCAATTTCCACCATCTGTTGTTGAATTTCATCGATGTTTCTTTTCTGAATTATTTGTTCCGAAAGTTCATTTTTGGTAGACAAACTATTGATAGCTAGATTTTGTAATTGCTGTTCATTAATATCATCAGCATCATTTTTATTATCTTTATACATTTTTTTAAAATGATTGTCGAAATTTTCGTTTTCTGAAGAAATAATAACAGCTGATGATTCTGTCACAGAAATAATTTTCGATGATTTTTTGGATGTTGTTTTCGTAGTTTTAACGGACTTTTTGACAGTCTTTTTAACAGCTGTTGATTCCGAATCGATGTTTTCAGCTGGTGACTAAAATTATTATTATAGGAATAAAATAATATTAAATTAAAAAAATATTTTTTTTTCAAATATATTTACTGGGGGTCCTCGTTTTGTATAGCTGTTTTGTTCCAGAAAAATCCTCTTCCAGATTAATCAAATCAAATCTACTCAAATCATATTATTTACTTTTTGTATGAAAAATGTCTGTTCCAAAAAAATATTTTGAATTTTCTATTCATTAATTTTCGTTACTCAAATCGAATCTTTTCAAACCGAGGACCCCCAGTACTCCTTTTTTCCAAAATAAAACTTTAGGCATTGTTTAGTATTTGTACATTATAGGCATCAAAAAAAATTTAATGTGAAGCATTTTAAAAATATATTTGTGAATTAAAAACTTACTAAGTTTTTAAGAAGTATGTCAGAAAATAGTGAGTATTGGTTGAAAGGACCAACTTACATTTAGACTAGAGCAACTTTCGTTCAGTACGCCTTCACTATCAACATCAATTTCGCTTTCATCTTCTTCAATTTGAAAGCAGGTATCTTTTAAATCAACTTTTTCTTGCACTTTTGCTCTTTCATCGACAGTTTGGTTTTTATCGATTTTATTCGTTGAAACTGTATTATCAATGTTAAAGCTTACGCCATCATCGTCTTCTTCTATAGTTTGATCAAAATAAAAACAATAGTCATTGACTTTCTTTTCTGCAGATACAACATTTTCCTCCTCAGTTTTTGAATCAGAATCATAACAGTCAATTAAAATTGATGGTCTTTGTTTAAGCATTTGATCAGCATTTTTACAGTACAATGTCTCAGGTTGAAGCATTTCATTCTCTGGTGACCGGTAATCCGCTTGGTTTTCCTGAATAAGTTGAATATTAGCTGTGTTATAGTCAATTGACGAAAATGACAACGAACATAAATTTTCTCGTTCCATTTCTACGGAGTCTACATAATTATGATTAAATGTCTCATCTTCTTCAAATTTAGAACTAAAAAAATTCACTGGCTCAATATTTAAATCACTTTTAGTTTCCTTAAAAGATGCAGAATTATCGTTCAAAGGTTTACTATTAATTAGTATATCTTCATCGGTTGTTGGCGTGATAGCGATGGTTTGAAAAAATATTTGATTCATAATCTGATCATCTGATTCAAGAAACTTTTTATTTTTTGACTGATTCAATGATTCTGGCTTTTCATTTAAATTTAATAATTTAAAATTATTTTTCATGGAATCTCTGCCACTATAAATTAGCGCCGAATTTTCTTCATTATCATCAATAATAACAGTTTTACAAATATCACTTTTAGTAAGAATGATGTCACAAACACTTATAGGGTTTTCGATTACGTCACTAAATACTTCATTAGTTTCATTAGCTTGATTAGAAACATCCACACAATCTTGTATTAATAAGGGTTCAATACACACATCAACTTGACAGTCTTTAATATTAGTTTCAGGAACATTTTTATAACTTAATATTTGCGAATTAATAGTTTTGTTATCCTTAAAATCACATCCATTTGTAATTTCATTACTCACGCTTTGCTGCTGTTCTACCTTTTGCTTATTTTTCTTTGATTTTTCTTTAACCACTTCTATGGATGACATCTTACTTTTTTTATTTGCTCTTTATTGTTTATTGTTACTGTTTGTTTTGATATTAACTTTTTGTTTGTCAATCCTGCAAAACAGTAGGATAAAAAATTTTTGTTAAATTTTTTAAAGTTTAAAATTCGTGAAAAGAATTGTAATAAAGAAAAACTAGTAATGAAGCCAATCACGATTCATGAGAAAATCATACCATATGACAGAAATTCTTCTGAGTAGAAAATCTTTTTTAATTAAATTCATTAAATTTGAGAATTTCTTTTAACTTCTTCGTGCGCGTGAAAAACAGATCACGTACGCATTCATTTTCTTTCATACGGGTGCACTATGGGGCAAAATTCAAAAAAAGCGGTCATTAAGGAATTTTCGGAACTTTTTGGAATTACGATCTCAAGTGGATTTTTTCATGTAAAGGACATCAAAATTGACTGATAAGCCAAATTTCAGGTTACTTTGCGCTATTTTTGTAATTCTGTGGCTGTTTGAAGTTGAAAATGTAGGAAAAATCGGATTTTTTCACGTCATATTTGAACGGAAATATCTCTGCATTGGTTAAAGATATTGAAAAATAGTTTTTAGTTCCTAATAGTGTTATATGGGCGATTCCACGGATGAATTTTTACAAAAAAACCGACTTTAAATCAAATTTTCTCTCAAAAAAATGACTTCATAGCTCCAGTCTTAACACTTACTTATGTAAATCACCGAGATCTATCTTTATGTATAATTAACTTTTGTCGTCAAGCTTTAATTATTGAAATATTTGGATTTTTATCAGCGTTGGCATATTACACAATGCTGAATTCTGATTTTGAAAGCAAAAATTTACGACTTTAAAGACATCTAGACAACTATTAATGGTTGTTTTGCCGTTCATTCTTTCCTCTTTTATGATTCTGCATACTTAAATTGACTTGAAAGACACTTAATAGACAGAAAAATGAATAATTTTAATGCATTTCATGTAATATACCAACGCTTAAGCCAAATCCATGAGAAAATGATTTTTAAAAAAGCAACTTTTACTTTAATTAGCAATTATTTCTTTGATTAGAGTGTTGTTTCTAAAAGTTTAATAGTCAATTAAGATTTTTAACTCGTTTTAAAAAGTGTTAACTTGGTTAAATTGTATTTTTGAGAGGCTAAAACACAATGTGCTTATATGACTGAAAAGTGGCCATTTAAGATCTTTACGGCATGCTTGAATATATTTTTCATAGAATTTTCACACATTTCTTCCCATACTGGTACCAAAACTACAAAATTACAAATTTTGTACATAATGAAAACAAAGTTCTTGCATGACACTATTAGAAACCGAAAAGCGTTTCTTAATGTCTTTAACTATTAAAAAGATGTGACAGTTTAAATAAGACGTGAAAAAATCAAAATTTTCACTCATTTTCAACTTCAAACAGCCACAGAATTGTAAAAACAGCATCAAATGACCTGAAATTTGGCATAAAAGTCAATTTTGATGTCCTCTACAAGAAAAAATAACCCTGAAAGCGTAGTTCAAAACTGTTCAAAAATTTCCTTAATTGCCGCTTTTTTTCAATTTTGCCCCATAGTGTAGTCGAAAAAAATTTGAACAGGTTACACTGTTAAAATTAAAGAAATCATTAATTATAGTATAAAGCTATTGTTTTAAGCTTTTTAACTAATCGATACCGGAATAAAACGATGGAACTAAGCTATTAAAACAAACCCGAGCTCTCTACGATGTCTGGTTAAGGCTATCTCGACCTGGAGCCGTACGAACGAATGACAAAGTGAGTTATTAAGCTACCTTTTTGAAACAAGTTTCAAAAATGCGCTAAAAAATAAAATACTGATATTACCAGTTTTTGGGGCGAGTTATGAATTTCTGACTTATTTTGTAGACAACCCATTTTTTAACCAATTTACATTTTTCTAAAAATTCAAAAAACTGTATCATGTAAATGGGTTTGGGACATTTGCCCACTGACTTTTGCCTACTCTACATATGCCCACTGACATTTTCCCACTGGTACTTTTGCCCACTGGTACTTTTGTCCACTGGAACATTAGCCCACTGGTACTTAAGTCCATTGATATATTTGCCCACTGATACTTTAGCCCACTCGTATACCCATTAAAATGATAATTTGAATTAAAAATGAGATGAACTTACACAAATTGGTGCAGAAATATTTACATTCACACCGTTTTCACGTGTGAATCTATTGGTTTTGTTCAGATTGAAAAATCAGTTTTTTTGAATTTTGTGAGGATATGGAGCAAGATAGCTTAAATGTTCAGAGATGAAAAGTTTGTGCCTTGAATTTCACATCTTTTGCAAAAAACAGATTTCAAATTGGTTGCGACATTGCTGAGAAAATCGCAAAATATGCTTTCTGTAAGCATGCAAACAAGCAAACAAGCAAGTTAATCAGCAAGAAATCTCAATAACGAGACATTGTAGAGACTTCTAGTTTTTTAGAACAGAAAGCAAAAAACTTCATAAAAAGCAAAAAACTTTCCTTTCTTACGAATTTTTCAAATTAAAAGTTCACTGTGATTTTTTTTAAATTAAACTTTGGATGAAAAAAATTTTTTGAACAAAGAACCAAGTAGGAAATACATTTTCAATTTTGGACTAGGGGCGACCCTAGTCAAAATCAATTTTGTCATTTTTTTCTTCGAGGGTTTTTCCAAATGGATTGAAACTTTGCATAAATATTCTAGTGCTTAAAACAAAAACAAATAAAACATCCCAAAAATTTTTTTGAGTAAAGAAGCAAGTAGGAAATACATTTTCAATTTTGGACTAGGGGCGACCCTAGTCAAAATCAATTTTCTCACTTTTTCTTCAAGGGTTTATCCAAATGGATTGAAACTTTGCATATATATTCTAGTGCTTAAAACAAATACAAATAAAACATCCTAAAATTTTTTTGAGCAAAGAAGCAAGGAGGAAATACATTTTCAATTTTGGACTAGGGGCGACCCTAGTCAAAATCAATTTTCTCACTTTTTCTTCGAGGGTTTATCCAAATGGATTGAAACTTTGCTTAAATATTCTAATGCTTAAAACAAATACAAATAAAACATCCTAAATTTTTTTTGAGCAAAGAACCAAGAAGGAAATATTTTCAATTTTGGACTAAGGGCGACCCTAGTCAAAATCAATTTTCTCACTTTTTCTTCGAGGGTTTATCCAAATGGATTAAAACTTTGCATAAATATTCTAGTGTTTAAAACAAATACAAATAAAACATCCTAAAATTTTTTTGAGCAAAGAAGCAAGTAGGAAATACATTTTCAATTTTGGACTAGGGGCGACCCTAGTCAAAATCAATTTTGACACTTTTTTCTTCGAGGGTTTATCCAAATGGATTGAAACTTTGCATAATTATTCTAGTGCTTAAAACAAATACAAATAAAACATCCTAAAATTTTTTTGAGCAAAGAAGCAAGTAGGAAATACATTTTCAATTTTGGACTAGGGGCGACCCTAGTCAAAATCAATTTTGTCACTTTTTTCTTCGAGGGTTTATCCAAATGGATTGAAACTTTGCATATATATTCTAGTGCTTAAAACAAATACAAATTAAACATCTTAAAAATTTTTTGACCAAACAAGCAAGTAGGAAATACATTTTCAATTTTGGACTAGGGGCGACCCTAGTCAAAATCAATTTTCTCACTTTTTCTTCGAGGGTTTATCCAAATGGATTGAAACTTTGCATAAATATTCTAGTGCTTAAAACAAATACAAATAAAACATCCTAAAATTTTTTTGAGCAAAGAAGCAAGTAGGAAATACATTTTCAATTTTGGACTAGGGGCGACCCTAGTCAAAATCAATTTTGTCACTTTTTTCTTCGAGGGTTTATCCAAATGGATTGAAACTTTGCATATATATTCTAGTGTTAAAAACAAATACAAATTAAACATCCTAAAATTTTTTTGACCAAACAAGCAAGTAGGAAATACATTTTCAATTTTGGACTAGAGGCGACCCTAGTCAAAATCAATTTTCTCACTTTTTCTTCGAGGGTTTATCCAAATGGATTGAAACTTTGCATAAATATTCTAGTGCTTAAAACAAATACAAATAAAACATCCTTAAATTTTTTTGAGCAAAGAACCAAGTAGGAAATACATTTTCAATTTTGGACTAGGGGCGACCCTAGTCAAAATCAATTTTCTCACTTTTTCTTCGAGGGTTTATCCAAATGGATTGAAACTTTGCATACATATTCTAGTGCTTAAAACAAATACAAATTAAACATCCTAAAATTTTTTTGACCAAACAAGCAAGTAGGAAATACATTTTCAATTTTGGACTAGGGGCGACCCTAGTCAAAATCAATTTTCTCACTTTTTCTTCGAGGGTTTATCCAAATGGATTAAAACTTTGCATAAATAATCTAGTGCTTAAAACAAATACAAATAAAACATCCTAAAATTTTTTTGAGCAAAGAAGCAAGTAGGAAATACATTTTCAATTTTGGACTAGGGGCGACCCTAGTCAAAATCAATTTTGTCACTTTTTTCTTCGAGGGTTTATCCAAATGGATTGAAACTTTGCATAAATATTTAAGTGCTTAAAACAAATACAAATAAAACATCATAAAATTTTTTTGAGCAAAGAAGCAAGTAGGAAATACATTTTCAATTTTGGACTAGGGGCGACCCTAGTCAAAATCAATTTTGTCACTTTTTTCTTCGAGGGTTTATGCAAATGGATTGAAACTTTGCGTAAATATTCTAGTGCTTAAAACAAAGACAAATAAAACATCATAAAATTTTTTTGAGCAAAGAACCAAGAAGAAAATATATTTTCAATTTTGGACTAGGGTCGACCCTAGTCAAAATCAATTTTCTCACTTTTTCTTCGAGGGTTTATCCAAATGGATTTAAACTTTGCTTAAATATTCTAATGCTTAAAACAAATACAAATAAAACATCCTAAATTTTTTTTGAGCAAAGAACCAAGAAGGAAATATTTTCAATTTTGGACTAAGGGCGACCCTAGTCAAAATCAATTTTCTCACTTTTTCTTCGAGGGTTTATCCAAATAGATTGAAACTTTGCGTAAATATT